GTTGTTTCCTGAGGAGAAAAAAAAAAAGGGTTTTCTTGAGATGGAATCTACTCCTGGTGCAGAGGCTGTGAAGACTGTTGAAATGACAACAGAAGATTTGGAATGTTACATAAGCTTAGTTGATAAGGCAGAAACAGAGTTTGAGAGGATTAATTCCAATTTTGAGAGAAGTTCTACTGTGGGTAAAATGCCATCAAATAGCATTGTGTGTTACAGAGAGATCATTCATGAAAGGAAGAGTCAATTGATGCAGGAAACTTCAATGTTGTTTTATTCTAAGAAATCGCTACAGCCAGCCCAACCTTCAGCAACCCAGCAACCTGATCAGTCAGTAGCCATCAACACTGAGACAAGACAGTCCACCAGCAAAAAGATTACGACTCCCAGAAAGCTCAAATGATGGTTGGCATTTTTTAGCAAGAAATTATTTTGTAATGCTTATTTGTTTGAGAGAGAGAGAGAGCAGGCGAGCATGTGCACAAGTAGGGGAGGGGTAGGGAGAGAGAGAATCCCAAGCAGGCTCTGCACTGTCTGTGCAGAGACCAATGTAGGGCTCAAACTCACAAACTACAAGATCATGATCTGAGCCAAAACCAAGAGTCAGACAGTCAACCAAGTGAGCCACTCAGGCGCCCCAAGAAATTATTTATTTATTTATTAAAAACAATTTTTTTTAACATTTATTTATTTTGGAGGGAGAGAGAGACAGCAGGAGCAGGGGAGGGACAGAGAGAGAGGGAGACAGAATCCAAAGCAGGTTCCAGGTTCTGAGCTATCAGCACAGAGCCCAAAGTGGGTCTCGAACTCATGAACCGTGAGATCATGACCTGAGCCAAAATCAGACGCTTAACTGACTGAGCCACTCAGGTGCCCCCACAAGAAATTATTTTTAAATTAAGATATGTACAGAGCTTTTTTTTTTTTTTTACACAATGCTATTGCATACTTAATAAACTATAGTATTAGTGGAAACATAACTTTTATACGCACCGGGAAACCAAAAAATTCATTCGACTCACTTTATTGTGATATTCGCTTTCTTGGGGTGGTCTGGAACTAAACCTACAGTATATCCAATGTGTGCCTGCATTTTTGACTCACAGTATTTCAACTTAGGATGGGTGTATTAGGATGTAACCCCATGGTAGGTCAAGGAATATATGTAATGACTCAGAAAGATATTCATAAAATGTTAGGTGTAAAAATCAGGTTACAACAATGTGTTTACAGTATGATGTTTAAAAAAAGTGTTACCATGTAAATATTGGATAACTATATGCAATAATATTGCATTATTATTATTGCATATTAATTATATGCAATAATATTGCATTATTATTATTGCATATTAATTATATGCAATAATATT